ATTGATTGCTTAGAGACAATTTCGAAAATATGTAAAATACTGGATTTTCGAAACTGCCGAATCGATTATTGTGAAATTTTTATTATTGCTTTGTGTCTTTTCTATTTTTGTTTTTTTTTTCTAGTTGTATAATTTGCAGTTATTTTCAAATATACAGTTAAACATCCTGTATATTTTTTTTTATATTTAGATTCTTTATAAAAGAAGACAAAAAATATTGTGAATACCAGGAATTTTTTTAATCAAAAAATTTGTACATAGTTTGCATTTTATGGAACAAAAGTCGTGTTTAAAAATTCACATTTGAAAAAATTTCAAGGGTAGAATTTTGTACAAAACAGGGCGATTAAATTTGGAAATTAGCACAAATTTAGTATCAGAGATTGATTGCTTAGAGACAATTTCGAAAATATGTAAAATACGGGATTTCCGAAACCGCCGAATGGATTATTGTGAAATTTTTATTATTGCATTCTGTCTTTTCTATTTTATGTTGTGTTAAAAAAATTTTGTTTGTTTTTTTTTAGTTGTGTTACTTCATTATCTATTATTTCTTCACATCATTTTCATTTATTTTCAATTAACTGTTAATGTATTTTGTGTTTATTAAGCGTCTTTAGTTGATTATAGGACGCCTATGTAAAATTTAAATAGTCCAATTACATTTTTTAATTAATTGGTAACACTGTTGCTAAACATTAGAAACTTTATTTTTTTTTATTTTCGTTGGATAAAAATAGTAAAGAAAAAATGTATGGTTTCAAAGTATTCCGTGAACATCATTTTTGGGAATTGAAAAAAAAATCTTGGGCGTGGTCTAATAGAACTAATTTAGGGCTATAATTTACAGTTATTTTCAAATATACAGTTAAACATCCTGCATATATTTTTTATATTTAGATTATTTATAAAAGAAGACAAAAAATATTGTGAATACCAGGAATTTTTTTAATCAAGAAATTTGTACATAATTTGCATTTTATGGAACAAAAGTCGTGTTTAAAAATTCACAGTTGAAAAAATTTCAAGGGTAGAATTTTGTACAAAACAAGGCGATTAAATTTGGAAATTAGCACAAATTTAGTATCAGAAGATTGATTGCTTAGAGACAATTTCGAAAATATGTAAAATACAGGATTTCCGAAACTGCCGAATCGATTATTGTGAAATTTTTATTATTGCTTTCTGTCTTCTCTATTTTATATTGTGCTATTAAAATTTTGTTTGTTTTTTTTTTAGTTGTGTTACTTCATTAGCTATAATTTCTTCACTTCATTTTCATTTATTTTCAATTAACTGTTAATGTATTTTGTGTTTATTAAGGGTCTTTAGTTGATTATAGGACGCCTATGTAATATTTAAACAGTCCAATTACATTTTTTAATTAATTTATAACACTGTTGCTAAATATTAGAAAAATTATTTTTTTTTTACTTTCGTTGGATAAAAATAGTAAAGAAAAAATTTATGGGTTCAAAGTATTCCGTGAACACCATTTTTGGGAATTGAAAAAAAAATCTTGGGCGTGGTCTCATAGAACTAATTTAGGGCTATAATTTACAGCTATTTTCAAATATACAGTTAAACATCCCGTATATTTGTTTTTATATTTAGATTCTTTATAAAAGAAGACAAAAAATATTGTGAATACCAGGAATTTTTTTAATGGAAAAATTTGTACATAATTTGCATTTTATGGGAAAAAAGTCGTGTTGAAAAATTCATAGTTGAAAAAATTTCAAGGGTAGAATTTTGCACAAAACAGCGCGATTAATTTTGGGAATTATAGCACAAATTTAGTATCAGAAGATTGATTGCTTAGAGACAATTTCGAAAATATGTAAAATACAGGATTTCCGAAACTGCCGAATCGATTATTGTGAAATTTTTATTATTGCTTTCTGTCTTCTCTATTTTATATTGTGCTATTAAAATTTTGTTTGTTCTTTTTTTTAGTTGTGTTACTTCATTATCTATAATTTCTTCACTTCATTTTCATTTATTTTCAATAAACTGTTAATGTATTTTGTGTTTATTAAAGGTCTTTAGTTGATAATACGACGCCTGTGTAATATTTAAACAGTCCAATTACATTTTTTAATTAATTGGTTACACTGTTGCTAAATATTAGAAAAATTTTTTTTTTACTTTCGTTGGATAAAAATACTAAAGAAAAAAATTTATGGTCTCAAAGTATTCCGTGAACTCAATTTTTGGGAATTGAAAAAAAAATCTTGGGCGTTGTTTAATAGAACTAATTTAGGGCTATAATTTACAGTTATTTTCAAATATACAGTAAACATCCTGTATATATTTTTTTTATATTTAGATTCTTTATAAAAGAAGACAAAAAATATTGTGAATACCAGGAATTTTTTCTTTTAATTATACAGTGAAAGATTATACACTAAATTTGTGTTCTTTTAAATGAAACACCCTGTATATTTCTACAGATTTAGATTTTTTATAAAAGAAGACCAAAAAAATGTTTGGTTACCTGGAATTTTCTTAATCAACAACTTCCAAGATAAGTTGCACTTTTATGGGAAAAAGTCGTTTTTAAAAATTCACAGTTCAAAGAATTTAAAACCATCAATCGTCTGACACTCTTCAAATGGACACCCAATATTTTTAAGATTTTCGCACTTGAAGCGATTTTTTTGTTCCAGGTTTGTTAAGGTTTATTCTAATAATACCAGAATAATTATTTAAGAAAACTTCAACAAATTTGATATCAGAAGATTAAGACCTAAGTTCGAAAATTTTGTAAAATACAGGATGTACATTAAAAAATACGGGGAAAAATGCAAATTTAATCATCTTGTATAAAATACTCCATCTTTAAATATGGTGGGGTGGAGATTTTTAAAAGTGACTATTTTCAGTGTCAGAGCTTAAGCTAAGGAAGTATTGTAGTAGGAAATATAGGGTCCATCTACCGAAATTTCACGTTTTCTCTACGTTTCATGATTCCAAGAGCATGGAAAAACAGGTCTCCGGTTTCATCTGTCTTTCGTTTATATTAGACGTATACGCTTCAAAACTACCAGACCGATTGTTGTCAAAATTTATACGGCGAATATTAGGAATATCGTGGAGGTAGTAAAATTCGAATCAAAATTTATCTAATCATCCCCACCAACAACTTAACCACGTCACCTCATAATTTTGCTTGGTGTTTTTTGAAAATTTTTTGAAAATTTCATAAAATAATAGACTCCTCTACTTGTGATTTATGAATCCGGTTTGAGTTTTACCTTAAAACAAATCCAGACAATATATGAGCAATTAATTCTAAAAACACGCCAAGGTCACTGATTCGATCTCCCCATTGGCCACTTTTTTTTACTTTTCGTAGGAGCTGGATTTATTGGATTTTACTTCAAGGGCAATTTTTTTAACATAAAATTGCAAAAATGTTGAAAACTATTGTATTTCACCTGATTTTCCTATTTTACTGCTTATAAATAAGGAATTTAATCGGAAAAAGTTATAGGGCGTCAATTTTGAAAGAATACAACTAAGTTCAAAAGAAAGCAATCTGTATATATCTGAAGATTATTTTAAATTTGCGTTATAGAATGTTATCATTTTCAATAGTTTACGGGACACCTGTATATATTACTTTTTTAATTGCGTTTATCCTAAATTTTTTAACAAACGCTAATTATTTTACATCACTTTATGACATTGACTTAAAAAAAATGTTTTTGTACAATTAAAAACCGCCTGATGATTATATAAGGTGATTATTAAAGATCGTATGTTGAGTTGGCTTTGCAATTTTGAAATTTCGTGAATTTTGCCGCCTTTTTGTAGTGATTTATGAATACTCGTCAACCATAACCTCACTTTCTTAGTTTCTTCAGCGATACGTAGACAACCAATAATTCAGCTCAAATGATAGATTGGCACCCACCCCTTTGCAAAATTTTGTAAATTTTTGTAAAGAAAATTTGTTGTACCTTCAACTCAACAGCTGTTCTGGAAAATATACTCACATAATTTCTACAATTTTCTATTCCTGTACTTGTGGTTTATGAACTCGTCGTGAGTTTTTATCCTAAGCATCGACATTTTTCCAAAACAAATTCAGACTATACCTATGGTAAGATTTATGCTAAAAACGTGAAACACTGGCTATTTTTTTTTTTGTTTCACTTTTCGTGGAAACTGGATTTATTGGATTGCACTTCAGGGGCAATTTTTTTAACATAAAATTGCAAAAATGTTGAAAAATATTGTATCTAACATATAGGGCGTCATGTTCGAAAAAATTCAGCCACAAATTATTATATATAAAATAATATTATTATATTAATTTACAACAATTTTTTAAAAATATTAGCAATTAAAATACTTTATCGCACTGTAAATAGCCCAATAATGTACTATTTTTAGAATCGTTTTTATTTAGACCGATTTTACTATACGAATAAATAACACTTAGTTAATCAATAAATTTGCTACAAAAAATGTTAGATAGCTTACTCAAAAAATTCCAAGGCCTACTTGATTGGATAAAATACTATCGTGCAAGCGGAACACAAATTGAGGCATTTTCAGTCAGTTTTTTTTTATATTGAATGAAATAAAAACGAAACAGATAATTTAAATGTCAAATAAATAATCAAATATTAGGCACACTATAATTCCCTTGAGTAACAATAAATTTGTAATGTTTGGTTAATTATTAAATCAGTCTAAAATAAACTTCCATTGAGTAGAACCGTCTCAGGAAACTTTAGCACGCCGCGCCATCTATGGACCAGGGGTTACGACTCCGAAATGCGACCCTGTAAAAATTTAGAACACTGTTATGAGCAAATAAACTCCATTTCAAAGCAGTCGTTTGCATAATGCAGTACAATTTGGATCACCGTTTTTAATTAGAAACGTAACTTCGTTTGAAATCTTATATTATTCACGTAATTCACATTATTCTAAGTTATTGATCCGGCATCTTACAGTTGCGCCATCTCCTGGACCCAACATCCAGCTTATTTTTGACACTGTTGACATTTCGATGTTTGTGTTTTTAGAGCGTCGGTCGAACAAAAAACGCTCAATTTTAAAAGAAACACGGTAAACCCATCTTATTTAAGCATAAATTAGATATGTAAACGCGTTACCACACGTATTTGAAGTGAGTATGCCACTTTTGTGTCAGTAAACGTAATTTAAAACCATTATTCAATTCTAACCTCACTTTTTTATTTTTTTAGCAAAAATGACTTTTATGTCGGTTGCTCATTACTTGCAACTGGTGGAGAAGTACTGGCGGTCGCAAGACGGCGCAAAAATCGCCACCTATTTATCCCTGCGGCACGAACATGCAGGTTATGCTAACTACCATGTGGAAAGCCCGGAGGGGATTGTTGAGCGTTTTCTTACCACCCCCATTGACGAGTTGGTTGTTTTACACCTAAAGTGTTTGTTTGCCATCAGCCAGAACGATTATCAGTCGGCTTATAACCTCCAAAGTAGTTTGACTCAAACTTTCACCAAAATTTTGCAGTCTCAGAAGGAGGAGAACTGGTCTTTGCCTATCATGTACGTTCTATGTTTGGATCTGCGCCTTCTGGCACAGTTAGCCGAGAATCAGCGGGTTGGAGTTAGCGAGAAACCCGGAGAGATTCTTGAAAAAGCCGCTGAGTGTTTGATGGGGTGCTTCAGGGTTTGTGCCGCTGATAACCGGTCGGCTGAAGAAGACACTAAACGAATCGGGATGTTAGCGTTAGTCAATCAGTTGTTTAAGGTGTATTTTCGGATTAATAAGCTCCATTTATGTAAACCGCTAATCCGGGCTATCGAGTCGTCCCCTTTTAAGGAAAGTTTTTCGCTGAGTCAGCAGATCACGTACCGGTATTTCGTAGGCCGCAAGGCCATGTTTGACAGCGACTATAAAGTAGCCGACGAGTACTTAACGTACGCTTTTGAAAATTGTCACAAACTCAGCAAAAAGAATAAAAGACTAATTTTAATCTACTTAGTTCCAGTTAAAATGCTCTTAGGTTATATACCTAGTAGAGAAGTTTTAGAAAAGTATGACTTAAGTCAGTTGTGGGACTTAGTGCAGGCGGTTTGTCAAGGCAACTTGAAAGCGTTTGACGACTTGATGGAAAAGCACGAGACTTTTTTTATCAAGTGCGGGATTTACTTAATTGTGGATAAATTAAAAATCATCGCGTATCGCAACTTGTTTAAGAAGGTCTACTTGATTTTGAATACCCATCAGATACCGGTTGAGGCTCTGCAAACTGCTTTGGTGTATTTAGGGCAGACTGATGTTGACTTAGACGAAACTGAATGTATTGTTGCAAACCTTATTTATGAGGGTAAAATTAAAGGATACATTTCTCATCAGCACAGGAAGGTTGTTGTGAGCAAGCAGAATCCGTTTCCTCCGCTTACCAGTTTATCATAGTCTCCTATGACAGGTTTACTTTGCTGAGTTATGCAGACTAGGTTACTTGTACATAAGTTTGTAATTTAGAATGTTTATACGAAGTTTCTTCCAAATGTGAGTGCTTGATGAAAGGAGTGTAAATCTGAAATAAAGCGTTCTTTGTAATTTTTCAAATCATATAAATTATATAAATCAAGATGGCGGCGACATGCTTTGACGCTGAGAAAAGTACAAAATTCGTCTCGTGATACGTGGGACCCGAATTTTAATTGTAAGCGTAAATCTTTAATTTTTGAACACGCTCATTTTGGAGGATCGTTTCAATCTTGTATCATATTTAGGTGTTAAAGTCTACATTTAGGTACACCTGTATTGCTCACTAATTTGTTGCTGCTGAAAAGGCGTCAGAGAGTTCTTAATGTGATAAAAAGTACTTTTTCCATGGAATAGTTGTGTTTCTTTTTTAACAAGAACTTATTGTTGTAAAGTTGATAATATAGTAAGGGAGCAAAACTATTCCACTAGAACTATTGATCGTTGTGTTGAGTAATTTGAACGAAAAGTTGAATTATAGAAGAAGAGATTAAACGTTTTTGCATGATTTGCTTTTATTTCTACCTTCCCAGTAACAACTCGTCATTTGTCCCTTTCTTGGACCGATTATTTTGATAAAATATGGTTTCAATAGTCGTTTTTGATTCATTTCTACAAAAAACAGTGTTTCCATCGTTAATTTGAGAACCGAGAAGCATATTTTAAGGTTATGTTAACGCTAATGTAAGTATGATTAATTTTAAAAAATTATACAAGCTTTTCATAAAATGATTTTAACATACAATTTTGTATGTAGGTGTATTAGGAAAGTCATGTAGATGGTGAACCTCTAACCAAAATTTGGCTGTTCATCTCCATTATCAATGGGATAATGTCAGTTCCAAAATTTACAATAGTATTTTTTTATTTTGTAAAATAAGATAGTTCTGTATTTGTGGTGTATGAATCCGTGTGGAGTTTTACCATACACATCCAGATTTTAGGGAAAAAAAACTCAAAATTGTGTAAGAATATTTTATAATTTAACTTTGAAATTGAAAATCCGAATGCTTATTGTAATCATGGTAAATCGTTAATAAAAAAATTATTCGGTTATCTTCTTCTAAAACATGTATGACGTCATCGCAAAATTTTGCCAAATAAATGCTTATATAGGGTAACTCAGAAAAATTAATGAATTAGTCAATTTTTTTTATTGATAAAATCAGGAACGACTCAATCCATTTTTGTCTTTTTTAAAATAAGTTAAATGGAAAATGTTTTTATTCAGTGTAATTATATTAATAGTGTCCTTTGTGGCATTCTTGTTTATCTTTCTTTAATTGTTTATGTCAAAATGGTGGAGGCGCCGGGATAACGAATAAATTATAATTTTTTTCCAAAATTTTTAATAACCGTGTGCTCTCATCTGTCACTATTCGAATTATCGATCTAACCTCAAATTATTGTTACGACGACAGCTACGCCATACGTTTAGAAAACATTTGAGCATCGAGAAATACTAATTTGTTTTTTATTTGATCGTTCATTATGAACAAAGTCGTCGCCTACGTTGATATTGCGTTGATACATTAAGAAAAACGGGTCAAAAATTAAGCCCCACCCACCCGCCCCTATCTCAGTTGTGACGAATTTTTTATTCGTTGTTCAGATAGAGGGGCGGAGTTTAACTGCAAAATCCACATTTTTCTACAAAAATTTACTATTTTAAACACGTTTTAAGTTTCACCTTCTTCTACTTTTTTTTTTATATAAAATTAATCACCGAAATGGAGGCGGATGGGTGGGCGGGATTTATTACATATAATATATGATAATAAGCAAAACAAACCCCACCCACCCACCCTATCTCAATTGTGACGATTTTTCCTTATTCGTCGTGAGCCAGGAGGGGTGGGGCTTAAGTTTAGCCGTTTTTTCTATAGAGACGTAATCTTCTTTTCACAAGATATTTAAAACATAGTGAAAATGTTCTCGCTCTGACAATGAATGAAAAATTCATTTCATTTGAGGGTGGGGCTTATTTTTTGATTTTTTTTTTCTTTCAACAACATGATACTGAAAACATGTTTCACATGGTAGATTCGACTAGAGAAATAAACACTTGCAATTAAGCTCCGCCCCTCGACTCACGACGAATAAAAAAGTCATCACAATTGAACTGAGGGCGGGTGGGCGGGGTTTGTATTTTGCTTTTGTTTCTTAATATTTGTATGCAGTGTTCTTTTCATGACAAGAAACTAAAAATATGCTTAAAAATGGTAACTTTGAAGAGAAGTGTGGGGGATTAAATTTACCATTTTATACATGACTTCAGTCACTTCTTGTGAAAATAAAACTATGTGTATTAAGAGGAAAAAAAGAACAAGCTCCACCCACCCACCCGATCTCAATTGTGACGATTTTTCCTTATTCGTCGTGAGCCAGGAGGGGTGGGGCTTAAGTTTAGCCTTTTTTTCTATAGAGACGTCATCTTCTTTTGACAAGGTATTTAAAACATACTGAAAATGGTAAACTTTTGTCGGGAAATATGGATTTTACAGTTAAGTTTTGCCCCTCGCTTTGACAACCAATGAAAAACTCATCACATTTGAAGGTGCGGCTTATTTTTTGACTTTTTTTTTCTTGACATATAGTTTTCTTTCAACAACATGATACTTGAAAACATGTTTCACATGGTAGATCCTTCTCGAGAAATAAGCACTTTTGAAATTAAGCTCCGCCCCTCGACTCACGACGAATAAAAAAGTGATCACAATTAACATGCGGGCGGGTGGGCGGGGTTTGTATTTTGCTTTTGTTTGTTAATGTATGTACGCAGTTTTCTTTTCATGACAAGAAACTAAAAATATGCTTAAAAATGGTAACTTTGTAGAGAAGTGTGGGGGATAAAATTTACCATTTTGAACAGGGTTTTCAGTCTCTTCTTCTGAAGAAAAAACTATCTGTATTAAGAAGAAAAAAAAAACATAAGCTCCACCCACCCACCCTATCTCAATTGTGACGATTTTTCCTCATTCGTCGTGAGTCAGGAGGGGTGGGGCTTAAGTTTAGCCTTTTTTTCTATAGAGACGTCATCTTCTTTTCACAAGATATTTAAAACATATTGAAAATGGTAAATCTTGTTGGGGAATATTGATTTTACAGTTAAGCTGTGCGTGTGTGTTAAGATGCGTAAGCATAGCAAGTAAGTATGATAATTAAGCTTGCCCCTCGCTCTGACAATGAAAAATTCATCACATTTGAGGGTGGGGCTTATTTTTTGACTTTTTTTTGTTCTTGACATATATAGTTTTCTATTGATAACATGATACTTGAAAACATGTTTGACATGGTAGATCCTTCTCGAGAAATAAGCACTTTTGAAATTAAGCTCCGCCCCTCGACTCACGACGAATAAAAAGGTCATCACAATTGAGACGAGGGCGGGTGGGCGGGGTTTGTATTTTGCTTTTGTTTCTTAATATATGTACGCAGTTTTCTTTTATGACAAGAAACTAAAAATATGCTTAAAAATGGTAACTTTGTAGAGCAGTGTGGGGGATACAATTACCATTTCAAACATGTTTTCAGTCACTTGTTGTGAAAAGAAAACTATGCGTATTAAGAAGAAAAAAAAAAGAAAACATAAGCCCCACCCACCCACCCTGCCTCAATTGTGACGATTTTTTCTTATTCGTCGTGAGCCAGGATGGGTGGGGCTTAAGTTTAGCCTTTTTTTATGCAGACGTCATCTTCTTTTCACAAGATATTTAAAACAAACCGAAAATGGTAAATTTTTGTCGGGAAATATTAATTTTACAGTTAAGCTTTGCCGTTCGCTCTGACAACGAATGAAAAATTCGTCGCATTTGAGGGTGGAGCTTAAGTTTTGACTTTTTTTTCCTTGACATATATAGTTTTCCGTCAACAACATGACACATGAAAACATGTTTCACATGGTACATTCTTCTAGAGCAATAAGCACTTTTGCAATTAAGCTCCGCCCCTCGGCTCACGACGATTAAAAAGGTCATTAGTAATTTTGTAGAGAAGTGTGGGGGATAAAATTTACCATTATAAACATGTTTTCACTCTCGTCTTGTAAAGAGAAACTATGTGTATTAAGAAAAAAATATATATACTTTTGACTTTGATTTAAGACTTAGATTCTACCACTTGTTATACCAGAATTCACTTCCCATTTTACAGTAAATAAAATGTTAAGGCAATCAAATTGAGAAGGAAGATGGGCGGGGCTAAGTTTACATTTCTTCTACATAGTCTTACAAGCAAGGAATAGCCCCTCCCATCCGCCCCACTCTTGTTTATAGGGACTACTCTTAATATTGTCAACTAATGACAACTATATTACCTTATTGGAATCTCAAGACAAATTTGTTGAACCACTGGTGAAGAAATAGTTAATTAAAAATTGCGAACAAAGTATCCAGAAAATATGAAGCTGGTGTTAAATAAACATAACAGTAGTGAGAATGCTCCTCCCACTCACACAAGCTCCTCCTTAATAAACATATATGTTCTTCCGCAGAGTGGGATTGGTAACTATCTGATAGCAACTAGGCTGTAAAAAAAGCGCCAATCGTAGTACTTCCTCGAGTGATTTTGGTAAATCACATACCATCTAAGAAAATAGAGGGGGGTGGGCGGGGCTAGTACTTGCTAATATAAGACTGATTTTGGCAAATCATATAACTTCTAAGAAAACAGAGAGCGGGTAGGTGGGGCTAGTACTTATTAAGATAAGACGAGTAAATCAAATTTTGTAATTTTTCGACAAAGTTGGATATGTTTTATTCTTCATCAGGGGCGAGGGAAGTTCTACCGAAATAACCTTCGACCAATTTTTCGATTTTTGGAATTTTCTAATTACAATTTTTCGGATTTTCAATCTTTTGACTTTCAAAATTCTCGATTTTTGATTTTTCTTTTTCGTTATTTAAATTTTTTTATTTTTGAATTTTTCGATTTCTGGACTTCTCGAATTCTCGATCTTTTGATGTTTCGATTTCGCGACGTTTCAATTCTTCAATTGGATTCCTCGGTATTTCGATTTTCCAATTTTTGATATTTCACTTTTGTGATTTTAGAGTTTAGAGCTCTAAAAGTGTAAAGAATCTAGAATGCCTAGAAACCAGAGAGATTAAGACGCCTTAAGAATGTAGAATATGTATCGAAAAATCCTAAAAAATGTAGAATGTCTAGGGAAATTTAGAGAATATTTCTAAGGACCTTACGCAAATGGAGAGGTTAGAAAATGTGGGAAGTCTGGAGAGTTTGAATAACTGCACGAGTCTAGAAAGTCTGGGAAACCTAGAGAATTTAAACACGCTACACGATATTGAGAGCCAAAGACTACAGGCAATTTAGAGAACCTAGAGAGAGCGAACAGA